CATACACGCAGGGTCATATGTTGGTAACAAGGTGGACATCATGATAAATACTACCACTCATGAATACAAAAGATAACTATCGAGATAATATTATGGCAAACACATGCATATGCATAAATAAAGCACCAAACAGATATCAGCATGACCCAACATTACATCAATCATTGCAGTGGAAGAAGGCCGCTTTGACCTGGTCCGACCAGGTCAGACAAGCTCTGCTAGCCGTTAGGCACATGCGGCCTAACATGTGGGCCACGACTGTCATAATCTCGTTGAAAATCAGCAAAATGGTCACTAAACGGAAGTGGTAGTTTTTTGCTAAAAAATTAGCTTAAAGCGATACTTTTTTGTTGACGGTTAAACTGTGGTAGTTCTATGGGATCGAACCTCAATAGTGGTAGTTTTTCTTTCTTTTTTTTGTTAAATACTCTCATCTTGAGCATTGAGCCAAGCAATAGTGTTTTGCCCATATCCAAGGAGCCCACCGAATGGTGCAACGGTTCCTCCAAAAAGTCTTTTTTGATAAGAAAGCACATGAGAAAGGTTACGCTTCCTGATCTTCCTGAAGCTCCATTCTGTGATAGGGCCTAACATCCTCCAACTCATAAAAAAGCAAAATAACTTTGTTACAATTTCAAGCAGCTCTTGGGTGTTTCTTTTTCCCTGGAAATTATCATTTTAGCTGCATTGAAAATTTGGATCACACGCAATGACTACATCTTCAAAGGGGTTACTCCAAATTTATACCACTGCCGAAAGAAGTTCAGAGAGGAGTTACAATGGATTTTATTCAGAGCCAAAAGAAGAAATACTGCAATCCAATTTCGGAATTTATCCACAAACCCCATGCGTTACAGAAGGTCCAAAACATATTCCCATCTGATGGAGTCGAATGCCTTTTTAATGTCGAGTTTGAACAAGAGGGTCGGAGTCTTGCACTCTCCTCTTCAACCTCGTGTTTCCTCCTCAACAGCCTTCCTGGTTCCCTATCAGGCATGGCCGTGGGTTTCGCCAAGGAGACCCTATTTCGCTGATGTTGTTTGTCCTTGCAATTGACCCTCTGCACAAGATTCTCGACCTTGCGATGCGCAAGGGCATCCTTCATAAGATCTGAGGGCGAGGTGCCATGGTGCGAACCTCCCTCTACGCTGATGATGTAGCGGTTTTTGTGGCGCCGATCAAGAGAGACATCGACAACTTATCTATTATCTTAAAGGGCTTTGGTGATGTGACAGACCTCTGCACCAACTTCCATACAAGCTCCGTGGTGCCTATCCGATGCGCCAACCTTGATTTAATGCACATCCTCCACAGTATTCCGGCATCAAGGGCGTCCTTCCCAATCAAATATTTGGGTCTCCCGCTCTTAGTATGCCAGCTGAGGAAAGTTGACTTCCAATACCTAGAGGACAAGGCGGCCAAGAAATTGGTCACATGGGACAGGAAAAACATCACCACCATTGGACGCACGACCCTTGTTCGTTTGGTCATCACCTCCCAGGATGTGTACTCCATTACACCCCTCATTGTCCAACGGGGCTCCCTCGACAACCTCAACAAGATCAAGCGGGCTTTTCTATGGTCTGGCTCGGACAACACTGTCGGTGCGAAATGCAAAGTCAACTGGGACATAGTATGCCGGCCTACAAGCTATGGAGGCCTGGGTGTCCTCAATACCGACAAGTTCTCTCATGCCTTGAGACTGAGATGGCTTTGGCTTGAATGGAAAGAGCCGAGCAAACTGTGGGTGGGACTGGGTACCCCTTGCACCGCGGAGGACCACGATTTCTTCTATGCCTCCACTACTATCATCATGGGGAATGGAGCCAAAACGCCTTTCTGGGATTCGCCTTGGTTGCTTGGTCGCAAGCCCAAGGAAATTGCACCACTCATTTTTGAGGCCTCGAGGAGAAAGAACTGGAAGGTGCGGGACGCTCTCAAGGGGAATGCTTGGATGCTCAAGATCAGACAAGACACCGTCATCACCGGCCACCACGTCCGCGAATTTTTTATCCTCTGGATGCTCATTCACGACTTCTAGCTCGACGAACACTCCGAGGATGACATTATATGGAAACACTCTACAGATGGTTTATAGTCGGCGTCAACCACGTACAAGGCACAGTTCCTTGGTTTGACTCTATCCCCCATGAACTTCATGGTGAGGAAGGTGTGGGCGCCCCCAAAAGTCAAATTCTTCGCTTGGCTGGCCTTGCCAGATCGGATTTGGACCGTCGATCGGCTTGAGCGGCATGGTTGGCCTAATTGTGGCCTATGCCCCCTCTGCAAGCGAGAGCAGGAGACGGGCATCCATCTCTTCGTTAAGTGCTGCTTCACTACTAGGCTCTAGCGTTTGATCATTGATAAATATGGCCTTGTGCACATGAACACTAATGACTGGCACCTTGCGGGATCCCTTTCGGAGTGGTGGGATAGACGAACCAATTTGAGCAATCCAGATTGACGCGCCATGGCCTCTCTTACCATGCTTGTGTCGTGGACAATATGGAATGAGAGGAACTCTAGGTGTTTCGTCACAAGAATGCACCGCCACCAATCCTCCTAAAGCTTATTGTGGATGAGGCCAACCTTTGGGTTACTGCAGGGGCGAAGAAATTAGGGAAATTTGTACTACGCGAGTAATTGTCATGCCGTTCTCTCGGCCTTTTGTAACACTATGTAACTCTACTCTCCTCTTATTTAATCGATGAGGCAAATCTTTTGCCTCAGTTTCGAAAAGAAAAAACAAGAAGAAATACTCTGCATTTGGTTTGTCAAAAAAAAAAGAACCCTCTGCATTTGAAGGCTGGGTCCAAGATTTCAGATAGTTTAAATGTTGATGCTTGTTCTGTTGTTCTCTTTTATTTTTTTTCTGTACAGTTTGTTTTGCTTTCTTTGCTTTCTTTTTCTTCCATTCTTTTATTTGAAAATGAATAAAACTGCACAACAGTCATGTTGTTTTCCTCTCCCCAAAAAAAGTTTGTTACAATTTTCCCATTATCGATTTACTTTTTACACAGATCATATCTGGTGTCCTTGAATGTTTCTTCGTTTAGAAAGAGGTTGAAAACGAAGTAAGGCAACCTCCTCTAGATGCAGTGAAACATTATCATCATCAGACATACTATTAATTTATAGCATGGCATTGCACAACATATTCAATGATCAACCAGAACACCAGATTATATACATTAATGATGGCAACAAATATCTGCTACCATGTTCCAAGAACTGCGTAGCAATACATAGCAACCCAGAGATACATTACAGCAATCAAGAGAAGTTTCACATATTTACTGGTTACGAATTGCAAGGCAATACTGGAATAACCATCATGGAATACCTAGTCCTGGCACACAAGCATGTCTATAGGCAATCCAGACTGAGTACTACAAGATCTTATTCCTTCTTAGAGGTATGGATGGCGGTAACCGTGGAGACCATGGAATCGACACCGCACTTGTTTTTGACATGCGGACCCCTGCAGATCTTGTAGTACCCGCTCTCGCCCCAGTTTTCGCCCCATGAGTTCTTTATGATCCAGTATGGTTTCTCCTTGAAGCGGAGCGGTGCGTAACCAGCTGATCCATAGCCAACCAGGAGAACACCATGATCAAGATGCCTTCCGCAGATGTATGGGCATGAGACACCACCAATGTACGTTTGCATGAATACTGCATTGATACCAACTGCGCGAAGAGAAGTATGCATCAGCCACAGTAATTTCCATGACATACATAAGCAGATCACTAACGGCTGAAGACACAATGATCAAATATGCAAATGCTTTGGATTCTTACTTGCAAGTGGGCCATGTTTCACAAGGTTAGCGGCAATCTGATCTTCGTCAATAGCAACAGTACTAAAATTCTTAACTTGAGCAGCAATTTTGGATTTGTCAAACTTGCAGGCACTGTTCCTCCCAGTGTATGGGTAATCCTTCTCGGTTTCTAAGCCACCGGCTTTTGCGAGATAGCTGAAAGCTGTAGTCATCAAGCCACCATTGCATCCCGCATCACATGCGCGTGGTTCTGACGGGTCACACTGCAGTCCATGACAAGAGAACAACATATATTAGTTGAACACCTTAAAAAAAGAATAGGAAGCCAGCAGGAATAAATTCAATAGTACCAATACTAATACAAGTGAAATGGTTTGCAAAATGGAGGGAAATTGAGCGTCAGTGTCGTCCATCAGACAATTGACTTCATTCATAACGCCAAAAAGGTATGGAAGAAATGAGTGTACAGAGTTACAGACTGGCAAATGGCTCCGCTCATAGTACACGACAGAAAATGGTTTTAGCGCCTCATTGGTGTAAGTTTGAATTTTGTCCAGGTCCAACCAAGATTAATTGGCCACACAGAATATATAGTAAGCTGCTTGTCAGTAACAAAATTAAATATTATGGCGTGACTGACTGATTGTTCCAGTTGATAATAATTCAGGTATTACACTCCCCAAATGATTCTTTGACATATTGTTAACAAATTCTAGTGCATCTCTGGTTACGTTTCTTCACCGTTTCCAATGCATCCCTCATAACTGAGGTTCTTCTATCCTTTCACAGAATCCATAGGCTTTTAAATTTCTAGTGGAAATGTATCTATTGTTTTCTCTCCTATTCAAAAAGATCGTAAGGCTTACGTTTCTCCCTCCCTCTCCTCACCTCTCGCTTTGTTCCCCCTCTCATCTATGATTTTTTGAACGTTTTTCCTGAAAAACGGCATCAACTGTCCCGCCTCTTATTGACTTACCAAATATAATTATGTTTTCTTTGTAAGCCAATAAATGATCATACCAAATAAGGGTTTACCAAATAAAATCATACTGTACTTTCTTAAACAATCACACTAACATGAGCCGGTGAATTAAGCTACTAGAATATTTATGCCCTCCGTTGCAATGCATCGGCAATTATCTAGTTAACCGTAAAGAAAAGAACTGCCTCTTTGTTTAAGGAATATCTTGCTTGAGAGAGGATAGTTCCCCTGTGCTCGAATATTGGCTTTGCCACTCGTTCAAATTTCGGTAATCACTAGTCAGTTGCTACTTCTTAGGACCATTGAACAAAAACAATTAGCACAAAACATTGAACAGGAGAAGTTGGGAGTATTTTATCTGGTTGGTGCGTTTGCAGTGACAGCCTAGGAATACTTTCTGGGTACAAGCAAGCAAATGCCTATTCATTCTTTACTGCAAAGTGGATAGGGTTAATCAATTTAGTTGACCCACCTATAATATAACATTCATTAAATCAGTAGACCCACTATTGTCCCTACATTTTTCTTTCTTTCACCAAGAACGAAAAATCTAGTCGCGGGGCAATTCTACGAGGCGATGCAGATGGGATGGATACCTGGTGGTCGCAGTCGACCAGCTGCTGCTCGCTGAGCACCTCCAGCTTTCCGGTGGCGAGGTAGTTGGCACCCTCCAGCGCCCCCGACGTACTGAAGGACCAGCACGACCCGCACGAACCCTGAAGAGAAGAGAAAGATCGGCTGGAATCAAATCAACCTGCCTTTTGCTCCAACCGAATCCAAGGAAAGATGGAATCAGAGGCGGACCTGGTCCTTGACTGGGCCGACCGCGCCGTGCTCGCGCCAGTCGAACTCTGTGGGGAGGCCGTCGGTGGGGAGGGCCGGCGCGTCGTGCGCCGACCCGGAGATCCCCTTGAGGAAGCTCCGGCGGGACTTGCGGAGGCCGAGGAAGCGCTCCCGGAACTCGTCGGGGGTGAGGTCGGAGAACTTGGTGATGCCGTGCACCGCGGAGGGGTCGAGGCGCTGGTGGCGGCGCGCGCGGCGGAGGTTGTCCCTGAACACGGAGAGCCGGTGCGCGTGCTCGTCGGCGTCCCTGTAGGACTTGCCGAACCGCCGGACGAAGCTCGCGAAGTGCGCCTCCGCGTTGAGCTCCAGCTCGTTCTCCGCGTCGCCCCCGACCACCTGCTCGATGAGGGGGTCCTCCAGCCCCTCCGCCGCCGAGGAGAGGGCCGGGTGGAGGAGGAGGAGGACGGCGGCGGCGACGAGGAGCAGCCGGAGGCGGGGGCGAGCCATGATTGGTCGGCTTGGTATTATTTTTCCTGCGGTTTCTTGTGTTGTGCGTGTGTGGCTTCGGTTCGGTTGCCTGCGCCGGTTATTTATAGCGGGTCGTTGTGGTGTACGGCGTTGGAGTAGCTTGCGTTGCGTGGTTGCTTTGTGCTCGTACTCGATTGCAAATGCTTGGGGAGAACGGGAACGGCGATCAGCTCACTCCGGCTGCTGTGAGAACGACGTCGCTAATGGTGATGTAGCATTACTACAGAGCCGGTGGCAGGGTGGGTGGATTCATCAGCGGCCCTGATATTTTCAGGAATAGTTGCTTATGCAGACGTTCGACCATTAATTTTATGCCATGTGTAATAACTGTCAAAAACTAAAAATCTACATGTACTAACAGCGAACTAGGAGTAGGAGGAGGGCGACTGTACCCCGTCCACCACGAATCGAGATTGTCGGTCCATAATACCGGAAGATCACACGTTAGGGTTGGGTTGCTCCTATGGAGTACGCATAGATGATCAGAATAGAAACTATACGAGGTCAAGATTGGTGTCTCGTATGAGATATTGAGATAGACATTGTCGGTGGAATACATATAGATGATCATAATAGAAATTACACGAGATCAAGATTGGTGTCTCGTATGAGATATTGAGATAGACATTGTCGGTGCTGACTTGGGAGGCCCCTATGTTCCCTTATATGGATGGATGAGAAGTAGGGCTATGTGGGTCCTATTAGACCTACTAATACATAGAGTCCTCTTAGATCTACCAATACATGTATCTTGGGGTACAAGTTGATCCCTTCTGGTGGGCCACGGGCCTCCCAGAAGGTCGGTTACCGCAGTTATGTTTTACCGATAGTAACACTCAAATCCGTCGTGAACACTGTCGTGTCAGGGTTGATGTTGAACCATGCACGACATCTTGGACTATTTGGCGAGGTCTTGAGGGACTTCCTGAGTATTCCTAAAAGAAAAAATGACTAGTGTCGGCTCGCCTTAAAGGGTTTGGAGATGACATGATATGTCGGGCTCATCGACCCTAGGAGAAAATCATGGACGTGCAAGGTGTGTGACCTCCCAACTTCTTTGTTGTTGGAGACATCCGACTTCACGGAAAACCAGTTTCAGTGACGCCTACAAAGTGTCGTGTTTTTTCGTCTTCTGTAAATATTGGGGGCACGATAGTGCACCGATGGGTGTAATCCCGAGCCTCATGGTGACTTGTGGAGTCAGGTGTAGGGACTTCGTTGTCTTATGGAAGATAGAGAAAACCACATGCCGACTCACATGTGGGGCGTGAAACAACTTGATACGGGCTCGGGTGCCCGAAGGGGAAGCCAGGGCCAACCACACACGGTGTGTGGGGCATCCGGCCTCCTAGTCTTGTCTTGTCGTTGGAGATGGCCAGCTTCCAGAGAGCCGACTTCAGTGACACTGCGAAACATCCTGATTATTTTATCTTTTGTAGACACTCGGGCATGATAGTGCACCCGGTGGATATAGCCCCTGAGCCTTCGGCCCACTCATGGAATCGGGCGGAGAGTCTTGTGATGATGGTAGACACCAGAGCCGTTTGCGGCGAGGCAAAGTGGAGCCGTTGAGGCCAGGTATGGTGAGGCAGAGAACCTAGAGCCGGATGCGGCGAGTCCACAACCCTTGAGATGGATGCGATGAGGTCAAAGCACCCGAGCAGACAATGTGGCGAGGCAGAGCCGTCAAGCCAAACATGGCAAGGCCGGCGTTTGCTTTTGCGACGCGTCGACACCATCTTTAAGGCCAAGGAAACAGGAGAAATAACAACTCTATTTTGTCAAACACTGAAATACTGAGTGGACATTTATATGCATAGTCAATGTAAAACTTCTGTTAAATTTAGTTGTTGAGTTATTTTGCGCAATACATATCCCTCGGAATCTGTTAATAGGTCGACTTTAGCTTTAGCTTCCTCCAACCAAGCAATACTTTTGCTGCCTGAGGTTGCATCAAGGAGTGCCCTTTGGAGGTTAGTATGACCGGGTTCCGATCTACAGCTACATCCAAGGGTAGGATGGCGGCTTCCTAAACACAACTAAGGATATTTCACAATGGATTATAAGTAATATTAGGTAATCGGTGATGCCAGCTAGATTTTTTATGCAGACCCGAGGCGATGCCATAGAAAAATTGGATATGATGTAGTACCCCAGTTCGACCTTAGAGAGATCGCCTTGATGCAACCTCCGGTCTGACCTAAAAGAGTTCACTTGGCTGCAGCCTCCGGGCGTTGCCTCAGAGAGATCGTTGTGATGCAGTCTCCGCATTGACCTGAGAGAGATCAATTGAATGCAGCCTCTGGGACCAACCTTAGAGAGATCGCTATAATGCAGCCTCCAGCCGATGGAGGGGTTGGTGATTTGGGTGGAAGGTGTCACGCTCGCGCCGGCGGTCGGGGCATGTGGGATGTGGAAGGAGGAGGAGGATGGGGGTGAGGTGTGGATTACCTGCCTGGATAGAGGAGGCCGAGCAGCATGAAGGAGGGTCGCCGGCGAGGAGGCGGCGACACTGCAAGCAAGGAGTGAAGGTTTCAACTTGGAAAGGAAGGAAGAAAGAGGGGAAATGTGGCTTTTGTTAAGGGGGAGGGGGCGGGGAGGTAGATATTTCTGCGGAAGCCGAAAATTTGGAATCGCTTCAGCCAAAAAATTGGCGCGGAAAGTGTCATCAGACACGGTCCCTTATTCAGAACTGTGTACGATATGTGGACATCACAAATGATTCAGATAGCTTAACCCGTGTGTGATGAGTTTGAACGTCAAAAGTTTTGGTTCGAATTTCCTTGGTTATAGTGGTCATCCACGTCATTGCATAATTTGGGTACACAAAGGAGACTACAACACACCCACACTTCTTAATCGGGCAAGTTCAGTAATTAAACAGAGCTACCTGACCTAAACATTACTCTAACAAATTAAAGACCGGCGCTCTTAATTAAACAAAACATAGAGTACTACTATGGCTGGTGATCATCGATCTCCGCCGCCGCCTCCATGTCCAGCTCACGCCCGGCGCTTTTTGTCACAGTCCGGACATGCACTTTAGGGCATGCCTACCCAGGGAAAGGAACCCTTAACGAAACTATTCTCTCTGGAAGATGTTTCTTACTACCCATGTAATATAACATAACTAGTTGGGCACTTGTCTGATAAAGCACTAATGACCCCTACGCCTGGTCTCCATGCATGCACCGGTTCTTATATAACCGAGAGGGTATTCGGATACACTCCGGACTGTAGGGTCCTGAGGTTGAGGCAAAAAGGTCTGCCACGACAAACGATCTACAATCCGGCTAGAAGACATCATATATGTCACTTTACAATTACATAGTCAATTTGACTGGTTGAATTCCTCTTCAATACCCTCCAATAGGCTGTCCAGTCTACAGTCCTGTTGGGAATACTTTGTGGCCAATTCTACTTGACCGTACACTAAATTCACAGGGATCTCCTTATCGTCAGGCCCCACAGGTCCGACTTCGGCCATGTGGTTTGGATCAGCCTTCGTGTACCGTGTCTTCACCATTGCCCAAGCCTCCCTGGCGCCCTGACGCCAGGACGATATCTTCCATAATCGGAAACACCGCCGTGCTCCCTTCAGCTTTTGCGCAAGATCTCCAAGGCCTTCGGGTATGGAGACGGACGGCCACAAGGCCTGGGCAACGCCTTGCATCACCTGCCGAACTCGTTCGTGCAACTGTGCGAGCTCGGGAAGAAGATCACCTGTTGAACTAGGCATCTCCTCGGCAGGACGTCCTGTTAGCATACCTACAGACATAACTCTGTCAGCCAGCTTCCTCGCCGAACTCTTTGTCAAAGTTCGTTCAAGCACTTACTAAATATGCCGCATCGAAGCCGCCGATTCTCCTTAACAGAATCCGACAGTTGGGCATGAACATCTTTTAGTTCCACGCCCAGCTTGGTGTTGGCATCTTGGAGATCATTCTTCTCCTGCCTCACCCTCGTTAGCATGCTCTCACCAGCCTTCAGCTGGCGTATGAGCTGCTGCTTATCCGGATTCACTCCAGCGTCATCTGCAATTTTATCGTCAGATTTGCATATAAAGCCGCACTCTACTATGATACTTATCATTGGACGGATATGTTACCAGTAGGGGTCTCCTTGGGCTCCCCTGCGGCAGACAGTGCGGCCTGAAGTTGGGCTTTGCACTCTTCCAGCTCCTGGGATAGTTGAGTATTCTTTTCTGTAAGAACCTACATAACAAATGATCCTTAAATCAGTTATCCTAATTGTTTCAAGTCTCAGGGGCTACAGATATATATATAATCATCAAATTTTCTCACCTGTATGTCTTTTACATACTGCTCCGTGGCTCTGGCTAGACCATTTTGAGCAGCACGGAGGTGCGCATCTCCCGAGTTGAAGGCATCTAAAGCCTCTTGGGAGAAACAAGCGTCACGAAGAACAGTCCGGCGACGCCTATGGTTCATGGCACTTTCCACCTCGGAAGGGGTGGCGGACAGTCTATCTGTATCCTCTGTCGGAGGAGTACCCGGTGCATGCCTTGTACTCGTTCCCACTCCTGAGTCCGGCCTTGGAGCCTGGCTTGTGGAGGCGCGGTTGGTAGCCTCTCCGGGTATAGTCCGGCGAGCGCTCTTTCTCCTGAAAAGAAGGCATGGGCGTTAATATGCCTCAGTAAATAATGTCTTGCAATAAATACGGCACGCTATACCGCTGCGTCGGCGCCTCAATCCGGACTGCGGATCTTTTCAGCCTGCTTGGCCTAGCGGCCCCTTGTTGGCTAGTTGCCATAGGCTCGGCCTTCTGCCCCGAGGACCTCCCTTGCAAGACATGGCTGTTATACGGCAATAAAAAAAGAGCACAAGGACGGGTCCCTTTTTAAGTGCTAGGATTTCGGTCTCAGTCACCTGTGAGGTTGGAACTAGCCCAGGGTAATCGGCCGTAATGGCCACCAAGGTATTGTCATTAATCCCTTGGTAAAAAACCCCGTCGATCAGCTCCACGGATATGTCCGGATCCTCTTGGGAGGTCGGGTCAAGGGACCGTCCAGGGTCCTCGGGCTGTGGAGGAGGGCTGTTTATCTCCTTTACTGCCTGGCGCAGCTCCTGCGATGAAATCACTAGAATGAATACTTAAACTACGGGAATACGAAACGGATGGGCGAGAAAAAATCTCCGCTTACCCATCTCGGAGGGTTGTACATGGAGAATCCGCCCTACGGGTTGATACGGAGGAATTCCTCCTCTTCTCCCTTGTACAAAATGGACAAGATCTTTATTAGATCAGCAGCCGATCCCGGCCGTGGCGGGTGGCGTCATCCTCCCCGTTGAAGTCCCACATAGGGTGGCCTCTGTACTGGAGCGGCTGCACCCCCCGCATAATGCATATAGCCATGACCTCGATCATGGTCAATCTGGATCGAGCTAAAGAGTTTAGCCGGCTCATCAGATAAAGAATGTCCCGGTCGTCTTCCTCCAAGGGGCTCCGTGGATGCCAGCTCTGGCGCTTCTTCAAAGGGGCGTTGTCAAACTCAGGAAGGCCGATCCGAATAGGGTTCTATATAAAACCATTCGGAAGGCCAGTCTTCGGACGTCTTCTTTGGGGTCCCGGATAGGTATCCGGTCCCAGCGATATGCCACACTTCGGCTCCACCCACTTGATATATTGATCCCTTCTTAGAACGGGGCACAAGGCAGAACAGCTTCTTTCACAGAGCAAAATGAGCCTCACAGCCCAAAAATAACTTGCAAAGGGCTACGAATCCCGCAATGTGCAGCAGGGAGGCAGGCGTAAGGTTGTGCGGCTGGAGGCCATAGAACTCCAGAAGCCCTCGGAGAAACGGATGGATTGGGAATCCGAGCCCTCTTACCAGATAAGGGACAAGGCACACCCGCTCTCCCTTGGAGGGATTGGGACGGCTCTCCGCTTGCTCTCCGCCATTATAGGTGGCAAGCCCGGCTCGAACCGGGACCATGTACGCTAGGGGAAGAAATCCCTTGGACTGAAGCATCACCAATTTGCTGTGCAGGATGGAACATCTCTCCCAATCTCCAGGCTTGGAACTAGGGGTGCGAGAGAGGGAGCTATGTCGACCGGCCATGGTGGAATGGATCTCTGTCGGGCACGCTCCGATGAAGACTCGGCAAGGGAGGATGATGTGATTTGGATCTGAATCCTCGTCTTTTTAAATAGGCGGCTCATTTGCATAGCTAGGGGGGTAAATGCGAAAACACCCTGGCTCTTTGCATTCGCTCGACACGTGGAAAGTGGCCATTATTGGGCATAGAAGCCAAGAAGTACGAACCATCACAAGGAACCGGACATTATTTCGACAGGAACACAGAATTTGGAGAAGGAACCCGCCTTGCAATGCCGAAGACAACTGTGCGCCGGACTCATCGTCATTGAAGCCTGGTTCGGGGGCTACTGAGAGAGTCCTGGATTAGGGGGTCTCCGGACAGCCGGACTATCTCCATTGGCCGGACTGTTAGATTATGAAGATACAAGATTGAAGACTTCATCTCGTGTCCGGATGGGACTCTACTTGGCGTGGAAGGCAAGCTAGGCAATGCGTATATGGATATATCCTCCTTTGTAACCGACCTTGTGTAACCCTAACCCTCTCCGGTGTCTATATAAACCGAAGGGTTTTAGTCCGTAGGACAACAATCACAACATACAATCACACCGTAGGCTAGCTTCTAGGGTTTAGCCTCTCTGATCTCGTGGTAGATCCACTCTTGTAACACCCATATCT